GAAATATTTTATACGACCCTCAGGTAGACTGACTTAATTATTAACTACGAAGTTGAACATGTACTTCCGGGAAAAATCGAGGCAATATTTTGCGCCACAAAAGGATTGAGTTAAATCAAGCGCCTCTAAAGCAAAATACGACAAGCAACCCCCTGTTTAGGCTGTCAATACTGAATATGCGTTTGTCAGAGTTCCCAAATAGTTCTCCAAAAGAACAACCCCAGTTGTTCTCACAAGTAAAAGGTGAATCGGTGAACTTTCACCCTTATTTAAACTTATCCCAGTTATAAGCAGAATTATTAGCCTTGGGTTTCGTTCTGTTATCGGTATGGGCATATCCCCAGGCAGTTTACTTTCTCCATGATGCGAGATTTTATGACAAGATTACACAGCTTTGGTAAAGACTCTCTTGGAAAAGTGGCCGTCGCACAAACAGAAGCTAGAGGTGGGTACACCTGGATTACCCCGCTGAGCATGAAATGGAAGAGTTAGTGGTTGTACCTCAAAGCGAAGTAAATGCTACTTGATGAAAATCGGCTCCAAAGTGCTAACAACCTTCTTCCGACATAGTTCCCACCGTTACGTGATTTTCTAGTCCCTGAACTAATCAACTTTTCAAATGCACTAATTATAAGGGCCAGGTCTCGGTGCGCTTTTTTCCTGGGAGATACAACCTCATCAGAAAAAAGGACGTTTAGGTATATGCAGAGAACGCCGCAAAACTGCAGAACACAATTCGATCCATCATTCCTAGAGTAACCCATGAGATGGGTCTAGAGTTGACGCATTATGGGCAAGGTTAGCCTTCGTCTAGCAATGTTAACTAATTTCGGCGCATAATTTCGCGCAAATCAATAGGACCCTGCTGCAGTTGCTCTGCTCAGTTTCGAAAAAATAATTTATGATTTCTTTTGCAGACTGCTTTCAGTGCAATAATAATTTTGAAGCGTGCCTTGGTGCTTCGCCAACAATCATCCACTAGCCAGACGGCTTCCGGCTACCGCATAAGCCCCCCTTCTAGTCGAAATTCCAGACTCGCTGCGGATGATTTTTGCTACTTATAGTAACGATCGACACGCAATTATGTGGAGTGCATTTTTCGGTCATCGATCGTACTGTGCAGCAGGCAATTTCGCAAAGTTGTTCCAACCTTCCTAACGTAGACATAAGTTGACGAAGAGTATTATAAGAACCCTTCCCTGAGCCAAAAGTGTAATTAAGAGTTCGCTTCCACCATGATCCTTGGTTTCTCTACACTGAAAACAGCTGTGAATATTCCCTGTGGCTCATTTTTCGAGGTCATTTTGAGATATTGAATAGCCCATTTCCCTAAAGCCCAGCCGATGTTGCAAGTGGTCCCACGTATATTGTGTCGTAATTTGCTCTTATGTAAGTTGCTTCGACTTTTTGGATAAACTATGCTGTACAGATTCTGCAAAAAACGCCGGAACTACAAGAGAGCTTATGTGCGTGTCTTCGTTAGGCCGATATATACAATCTAAAAAGCGGTCTACAGAAAAAAGGCGAACCCTGAATGGACAAGATTCCATTATTTCAGGCAAGAGGATGCAATAATATACCTTAGCACGACAGAGGAGTCATCCGTCCATATATTCCCACTCAGACCCAATGCAGCACGAAAATTCAGGGGAGCTCATGAGACTCTTAGCAGAGACAAACTCAACCTATCTTGTGAAGCAGAAAAAGCATAAGTTGGTTTCCCGAAACGTAGCGCCACACAGAAAACACGGCTACAGTGAAGCGCTACAAATGATAATCTTCGAGAATAAATATCTGACGGTCTCGAATTCCCTAAGCATTACGGCAAAATTACACAGAAATGCACGAAGCGGCTCGATCCACTTAATGGTGTATGTGGTAATCGATAAAACCAACAAAGAGATGGCCCACCTCCTATCTTTCTAGAACATGCAGAGTTCCGAGAAAGAAAAAGACTAAGCGTTCTGGGTTTTTCGATGCGACGGTTAGAGCGGGAGCGGAGACGGAGGAGTCGTATTATAGGAGCATTTCGCTCCTACGCTCGAGCGAATCGTCAGTGCCAAAAGGCAAGATAAATACAGATATCACATGCAGTCCCTTGCTCGGCATCTTTAGGTTGTTCCTTGTTGTTGAGATGGTACCGGAGGGAGGGGTCCGTTTGCTTGGGATATATCGACGCGCCGACCATTTGAATTTACGCCAGATCGACCATTTTGTGCTTGGCTCTCTCCGAAATTTACGGAGGGAGTCGAATGAAAGTTGACGGCCGTGTTTGCGGCCGCAAACACGCGGACGCGTGTGCGTCTACCTAATACTCAGATAAGTCTAGACCACTCCTGTGGTAACTAGCAGCAAATGCACGCCAGCCAATGCGATAGGCAAGTGCTGACGCAGGTCTGCGTGACAGTCCATCCCAGGCTTACATGCGCAGGCGACGGGTCGTTGCCTCCCAGTGGACACCGGTTGCGCTCATCTATCTCCTCCTTTGTAAACTGGACATGTAGCGCCGCACTTGTCCCGCAACCATGTTTCGGAGCGTGACGAAAAAAGTGTTATCTAAGGAGGGCATTAAAAATCTGCCTTGCAGAGGACGAACACCCGAATTTTAGGCCTCAGAGGAACAACTGTGGCGAAAAAGCATGCCTCACTGGGGTTCATTGGCTCTGTTTGTGGGTTGAATCATCAAAGGCGAAGTATGTAGTCAAGTCGAAGTCAAATAACTGCAGAAAACGCTTTTTTTCGAAGAAACTCCCTAGCTCCCTTTATTTCTCTAGAAAATCCCCAACTGCTGCCCAGGAGAATTATTTGCGATGGAAGAGAACACAGACGTGATTGAGCAATACCATCAACTCAAAATAAAAACAAAGGAGTTAAGAGTAGACTGATAAGTTGACAGGAGCTGATACAAGATGCGTGCAGATAGGAGGTGCAAGCGTGTTGGATGGGAACCATCAAAGTCAGCGCTAAGGAGAGGGAAGGTAGAGCCCACGAAACGCTAATGTGTACGCAGTCTAACCAATTACCATCTCTTTTTGCTCTGGTAAAGTAGAGCCGGATATGCGTCCACACGTACCGGGACTGACTTAAAATGGAACAAAATGGCTACTATCAAAATTAAGTAAAAAGGAAATATCAGTAAATAGAAAAGGCGCACTTAGTCCCTCAGCGGACCGGAAGTAGGAAACCAGTTTATACTCTAAGCCAAAGGACTGGGAGGAGACAAACTTAACTGTGGCAGAAACCGGTAAGGTAGACATGTTTACGTTTATGTCAAGATGAAGTGAAGGGATTACCCACAAGTGGTACGCATATGAAAGCCCACAAGGCTGATTGACGACGGCCAATAAGCCAGAAATGACAATCCCAGTCTTTCGTCGATATCGTATCCCTCACTGCATAGTTTACTGAGCGGTAGGCAACTGCCTGCGAGGTTTGTAGATGGAGCCCCAAGGCGTGGCGAGAGTAGCATGTCCTGTAATCCGATCGGTGGACGCTCTTTCACTGACAGTCAATATTCTCGATCGCAACTGACAAGACAACAGGACGCCCAGTTCAGTCGTAGGGAGTTCCACTTAACAAGCCTGAATGACAAAAGAATACGGGTACGAGTCCCTGGCGACTAAAAAAACCGAAAGCACCGAGGAAGCTGGAGTGGCTTGTGCAGGGGCCATGCTGGCAAACTAAAGGAAATCAAGGCTCTCAGTGCGAGTTATTATCAACATTTGATTTCTCCGGACTTGCAGCACAAGTCTCCTCTCGCCTAAACGACAATTTTGTAGGATATGCGTTACAAATGTCAAGTACAGAAAACATACACCCGCTGTACGCCGCCAATCACGGTAAGCGTGGAGGACTTGGTGAAAATCAGAGGAAATAGTTTTCGGTCTTGCAAGTCTTGATTCGCCATGAAATATCAAGAGGCCAGGCCATGTGACACTCGGGAACGAGGACATACAAAAAACCAGCTTTCTTTCATCGATGCCACAAAAAACAGTGCTACGGTATTCCGACGCGTACTTGAATCAGTGAAACGCACTGGCAGACGAAAAAACCCATTTAAGTAGCAGAAGGTCAGCCGGGTCCATCCGACACGTTCGCAGAGCACTGCTGCAGCCGCTACGACCACAACTTTCGTCAGCCCGATCATCCTTCAGTCAAGGCTCCAGAGTTACGTCTCCCACGACGAGGGACATCTTGAGCCAGAGGATTTCAAAGCCGGAGTGTCTGCATTTTCGGGACTTTGTTTCTTATTCCGGCCGCTTCTGGAGCGACACATGGGTAGGTGACGTTATCAAAATTGGACAGAAAGGGGTGAGATTTAGTAATGCTAATGCCACAGAACCAGGGCACAAGCTCTACGAACGGTCAGATAGGTGTTAGTTGCACGTGTGCCGGATATTTTCCATAGTTGTGAAAGCAACCGTCCACCTACCTGTTGGATTAACTAAAATGTGTAAATTTCACGGAACGTTGACAGTCTCACCGGGTTGCCCACTAAAAGTGGAAGTCGAGGCACCCAATGACACGGTAGTTTATCGATCTTGATTCGGGGGCCCAGCACAATGGCATAAAGACTATGTGACAAGCAAACTGATTTTGCAGAAAATAAACATCCGAGGAAGAATCTACGGCCTGCCCAACAAGGTGCAGGCCTACAGGAAAAGCAGCGAATTTTGCGTTAAACGTCCTTGGTGAGCACACGCATGCGCGAGCAGAAGACGTGGGGTTAAAGATATATGCTGTACTTAGTTTACACAGACGATGCCGAATGATACAAGTGGGGGGGGGGGGCGGTGGAAGAGACGATGTATTCTCTAGATAGAGGTATGTTGCGGGATTCAAACGATTCTATCTTTAATAACGAGTGAAAAGTGGACTCTTGGAGTGGTGGGAGGGGGCGTGCAGGAAATGTCAAAGGGACTGGAGCGGGAAAAAGATGCGTGTCAGGCACAGGAATGGAAGCCTGGCGTTGACTCGCCGTGCGCATGCAAACGCGTGTGAGTTGTGACCATCCACTCCCCTGGCCGCCGATCGTAGCTCGAGATCTGGTGAGTCAGCTTCGTCCAGTCGTGGGGAGAGGACTTGAGATATCGATGCGAGTGTATGCAGATGCATGACTCGGACTTGAGCAAAGTAAGGGGGTTCTGTTGTGAATGAGGCCGACAGAATGTCAAACAATGCCGACACAAGGGAAAAAGACCGTACTAAAGTGCTCGCCTTGTTTAGAAGTAGAAAAGTCTTGGCTTATTATCTCTCATAATTATAGGTGCAACATATATATTTGCGTACGTGTGTGTGTGTGTGTGTATAGAAAGAGACGATGCTATGTACATACGTGGTTACGTGCACAGTTTCTGGCACGCACACACAAGCATGCCCACACACTCACAAGGACCGATGCAGACGAGCAACGATGTCACAGCAGCGACGGCGCCTTAAAATGCAGACTGGACGGATAATCTGCTGTATGTAGGGAGGCCCT